CCTCATCACCAGTCAGGCCTGCCCAAAGACGAAGTACATTTGCTCCGTCACGCCACCAGAGATCAGCGAGGACCCGGCCATCGACGGTAGCAACCGGATTCGCAAATCGTGGGAACTACTCACGGAGGCCGAGGATACTCCTGCGAAATACAAAGACCTGGGTTGGAGGCAGGCTATGCTCCCTACCATCACTGGGGGCTCCGGCGTCGACACGGGCGTCACCTCGGTCGGCGTGCTTAACGACACGGGGGAGGGCCGCACGGGCGTGCGCGGCCCAGCCGAAGCCTACCACAACTCCCTCCTCAAATGCTGGTCAAAGCTTGTGGCCTGCAGCCCAGACCTCCCCGAAGCCGAGCGCTGCGGCGGGTACGGCGCACGGGACGCCGCCGTCAACTCGTACAGAGCCGCGCTCTCGAGGCGAGACGAGGTGGCCTCCATCCGAGCCGCGCGCAACGACAACATCTACTACACCTTGCGCGGCGGCAAAATCTCTGAGTTCTACCCCAAGGGCGTCAGCCTCCCCACTTCTGAGTCTCTTCCAACACCGGAGTCAGTCATCGATGGCACTTGCAAATCAGGAAGCCCGTACGCGCGGGCGCTTGCTGCCATCGAGACTATCTGGAACTGGTTCGATCTGCAGAAGGAGTGGCGCGCCCTTGACGACTACACAGCAGCCAACTGGCAGCCCGGCGACACCAAGATACGTTACCGCGAGTCCATCCGCTACGTCTCAACTTCACAGCCTTACGCGGGGCGGTGGCTCGACACCAAACTTGACGGCAGCAACGCCACAACCATTCCAGACGACATATTCATCGGTGAACTTCAGCGCCGAAACGGCCTTCACCTCTCGCAGTGCCGCTCGACTGTCACGCGGGCACTCGAGCTTGGGGACACAGTCGGTGGTGCAAAGGACTACCATGGCGACTGGTTCCTCAACAACGCCGCCCGGCGGCGCCCACACGACGGCGTACTTCGCGCCTGGTACGATTGTGTCGCCGCCGTCTCCATCTCCCGGCCCGTTATGGGAGATGCCGAAAAACCTGAGCTCACCAAACAGTTCAACGAGGGCTACAAAACCGACCTGGCTGAGCCGGGCGAGGCCGGTTCACTCTCTTTTCTCCACGCTACAGCTCATGGGTGTGTGATGGGTGTTGATGGGTGTGATGGGTGTGTGATGGGTGTGATGGAGGTGTGATGGGTGTGTGATGGGGGTGTGATGGAGGTGTGATGGGGGTGTGATGGGTGTGATGGAGGTGTGATGGGTGTGATGGGTGTGATGGAGGTGTGATGGGTGTGTGATGGGTGTGATGGGTGTGTGATGGGTGTGTGATGGGTGTGTGATGGGTGTGATGGGGGTGTGATGGGTGTGATGGGTGTGTGATGGCCTGTGTGATGGGTGTGATGGAGGTGTGCATGGGTG